ATTAGAAATTGTATAAAAAACTGTCGTTTTCAATGAAATGTGCATGAAAGAAGGATTGCTGGCTAATATATATATATATATATATATATACACACACACACACCCGTATATATATATATAACCCACATACATATACACATACACAATGTTTGACAAAAATAAAAGCAAATACACTGTAGTTATTGAAATTTCATCTAATACTTTAAAAGAATATGAAAATATCTCATTGAAGGTGTTTTTAACAAAATGCAGGTTGGCCCCAAACTTTTGGCCTGTAGTACACACACACACACACACACAAACATGACTTGATGTATTGATTATATACTTATTAATTTACCATTAATTGTTGAGATTGCTGAATTTAATGATAGTTTTGCAACCTGTGTACAATGATAAACTACAACTGTGTCCTGGTTATGACAAACTACATCTGGTAGCAAGGCCCTCTGATCTGAAGGTTTTGAGGAGCATGGAACCACCTCTTAATTGCTGGTGTTCCCAGGTTCACCCTAACCAGGGGTGGTAGCACCTGTTAGGGTCTAAGCTATGGGGAAATAGTTAAACCCCAAACTGGGGTGAAAACACTATGAAAATGTACAAATAGGTTTTAATTTGTAATACATTTTTTGAAAAAAAAATTACCAGCAATAACAATCTTGTCAGCATTAAATAACCTGTTGATGTTGATATGCTGTAAACCAAACCATCAAACTATTTAATGGAAGTTTTGATGGAAAACTGACTGAATATCCTGACAAATTTACAAAGAGTAGATATTTGGTTTTTTACCTTTGTAAAAATGAACCCCCACTTTCCCCCAAAAAAGGAAAGAAATCCAAAGCAACCCTCACCCCTCACAACCATAGTGGAAGTGTGATCTTGACCAGCCCAGAGAAATGTAAATTCAACTCAATATTGTCAAAGAAAATATTCTGGCTTTATTTCTTTAAATTTGGTAAAAAATTCTGACAAGTAAACTTCCTCAGCACTCTTGACATATTTGAGAAGGATATTAGAACAATCAGAACCTATACGGCAGCAAATCACCTGCACATGGATAAAAATGAGGTTAGCAAATACACAAATTACAAAGGGGTGTAAGACAAGGATGTGTCTTCTTGCCAGACTTATTCAACCTGTACAGTGAGGCAATTTTGAGAGAATTAGATTGATTTGTTGTTGGCAGCCACAATCTTAACATTGTAAGATATGCAGATGACATGGTGTTGATAGCAGACATGGAAAGGAAACTACAAAAGCTTTTACAGAAGGTAGTGAAAGAAAACAAGAAGAAAAGACTAAGTATAAACTACAAGAAGACAGACTGCATGTTTATCAGCAAAAGGATGAGCCCAAAATACAAATTACAAATCAAGAATACTAAAATCAAACAAATACAGAAATTTAAATATCTGGGAAGTATTCTAACAGATGATGGAAAGTGAGACACTGAGATCTGAAAATGCATTTGGATAGCCAAAGATGCATTCCAAAATCTAAGCAGAGTATTAAGAAAAAGAAAAATTTTGTTAGAAACAAAGAAAAGAGTATTGAAGTGTTACATGATATCTGTCCACCTATATGGCAGTAAATGCTGGACAATCTTTTGAAAGATAAAGAAAAGACTTGAAGCAATAGAAATTTGGTTCTACAGAAAGATGTTGAGGTACCATGGACCAAAGATGTGAGCAACAACAAGGTTTTAGAGAAAATGAAAACAAAAGGAAACTTATAGCATAAGACAGATGAAATTTCTGGGGTATATAATGAAGAAGGAAAGCTTGGAAAATCAGATACTGTCAGGACAGATTGAGCGATAGAGGAAAGCAGTTCAAAACATACTTGATTAGCTTGACCAAATGGATGGTAGAACAGAATTTAAGAGAAATAATAAAAAGACAAAACAGCTACAAGGGATAGCGCATGTGGAGGGCCATGATCGCCTATGTCCTGAAGGGACATGGCACATAAACAAGATATAACTCATGAAACTAAATTAAAAAAAAAAAAACTCCTAAATATAGGCATAACAAATTATGTATAAATTTTTGTAACTTGATGCTGACAAGTTTGTTCTTATTTTCTTTTCATCTCACATTACTTATACACATTTACATAATTCTAAATGTCAATATATAGCATGCAAACAATTTCTGGCCTTTAAAAAGATATGAAAATATACAAATATATTGTACTTTTTCTTTATTCTTACTGGGTCTTTTGGACAGGAGTATAAGTTTATCCCTTGTTTCCTGTTTAGGATTGGGTTTTGAAATTCGAAATCTAGAATGCTGCATAAACAGTAAAAATGAACAGTGGAAATGTTTTGAATTTACAGAATCATATATACATACTCACAGACAACTTAACCCCATGAAGATGGTCTCAGATGAGATTGAAAGTACTTGGGAAAATAAAAACTATTTGAAAGAAAATTTTGGTATTTTTCTTAATCAATTTTCTAAGGCTACCAAGATTTAATCCATGAACTTGAAAGAATCACAACAAAAACTAATCGACATGATATGTCTAAATTATTTAACTAAAACTCTTTGAATATATATAATATCCAATAATAATCCCAAAGGTTGATGGAGTGAGACAAAAATAACAACAATAACTTATGAAATGCAAATAGATTTAGAATAGCAAAAGAGACTGCAGAACATAATTTAATATATGAAAGGGAATTAAATGCTACAGGATAAAAATGTGTCAAGTGAGAACAGCACTATCTTCTGGGGCAGAATATAGGTTTTTAATGGAGTTCAGGAAAGGGAGCATAGAGGTTAGCAACAGTGTCCAGTTGAGGAAACATACAAGATTATCAAATATTAAAAGACATGCATGGAGGAAAAGTAGAAAGATTATGAAGTATATGCAAATTAATGGAAAAATTTCAAAATCAGATCCTTAACCAAGAACAAAAATTCAAAATATAAATTGCATCTCTTATTAAATATTTCTTAAAATATATTTTTGTTAAATATTTCTTAAAATATATAAACTATAAATTTTAATTAGAAAACACACCACAAATAAATTAATGGTTAAGTGTAATTTGTGCTTGTCATTATTTAAAAAAAAAGAAAAGAAATTAAAATGATTAAAAAAATAATTGAGTATTTTTAGTTTGATTCTAAAATGAAAAAGTTAAGAAAGAGTAAAACTGAAGAACAAGCATAAAATAAATCTACCTATATATTGTAGGGATGTTACCCCAAAAATATCGAGCACGTTGTTGAGGAGAAAAATATTTAGCATCCCACAAGGCAGGTTGGCACTGTAATATAAAAAAAAAAAAAAAATAAACATTTTAATTGACAGCTGGATATTTACGCAATATAGATTAAATAAGTAGAAGACAATTGTATAATTTGAAGAACATTTTTTTTTTTTTTTTAAAGTTTTCTGGATTCTAAATGGATTTGGAATACAAAGCATTCAAATATTAAAAATGTCAAATACCTTAACTCAGAAAATTACAGTGTTGGTTCAATTTGCTTTAAGAGATTATAACACAAGCCTTTATTTTCATTATATGAATAAAATATGTACTTTCATATATACTTACACCAAGATATCGAGAAATGATAGCCTTATATTCAGACTTCATAGCAGTAACATTTTCAAAGAGCCAAAAGACATGCCTATCTTTGCAGAGTTTTTGGACAATATTCAAAACTCTGTAGAACTCAAAAAACAAAATCCCAGTTCCAGCTAAAAAGAAAAAATAAAGAAGAGAGTGACAGAGACAATGATTTCATTAAAATAACAGAAACAGTAATTTCCCATGTTAAAGAAAGGAAAGTGAAACAATTCACTTTAAATCTCCATATACCAAGTCTGCCAAAAAATGTATAGACACTTTAGGAAAGGAAAAACTTATCTTTCATAGTTTTATCAAATTGCAATGACACTATTTACTGTAGTACAATATTTTCTTAACAGATGGTATTACCCTCATGGCTGTAGCATCAACAAGTGATGCCTACATGGCGGATATACATTTGTCATTTGAGGAACGTAAAATTATTTTAAAGTGTTATTACAAATTTGAGAATGTTCAAGTCCAAAGACAATGGAGCCATGAGTTTGGAACACATCCTACAACATGTTTAACAATTTCACAGATTCATGATAAGTTTGAAACACATGGTACTGAGTGTGATGTGCATAAATGAAAATTTGGCACACCACATACAGCAACAAGTGTTTTTTCCTCAGCTATTATGTTGGAACAGTTCACACGTTTGCTACAGAAGTTTACTGCACAATATGCACATGAAAAAGAAGTAGTACAAGCATACAGCGTATTCTTAAAAGTGCTAAGTGGAACGTTTTTAGTTGGTGCTTCAAGTAAAAATAATATGAAAGATAAAAAAAGATATCTAATATTCTAACCTTTACTTTATCTGTCTCGAGCTACAAATTATTTTTACTTGAAGCACCAACCTAACCAACCTAGGAGACCATTGAAGTTCAAATTTTACATTCTAATGGAATTCTATGGCCAGATTATATCTCCTCTTAGTGCTTATCACCTCCTCCTCTTCCCATGGCCTCTTTATTTTTCTTTTCATCTTCTTTTTCTTTTCCCTTTCCCCATTGGTCTTTTCCCCTTCCTTTTCGTTCGCCTGCGCCTACTTAATGAATTAGATTCCCTTCCATTTCTACATGTAAATTCTAGAATATATGAAAATTTCCAAAGAACGGAAGTGGATAATATTTGCTTCGATAACTGTATTTCTGAATAAAAGTTTTTAGTAACACCATGATTCCCCACCTGATGAGATGTTTAAAAAAGTTTTCCCTCTTTTTTTGATGTTGAAACAAAAATGTACAATTTTGTAGTGGATATGTGCATGTTTTAATGTAACACTGCATAATATATATATATATATATATAAATAAATAAATAAATAAATAGAATTATTTATTTGAAAATAGAATCTTCTATATTCAACATCATCACTTGATAAAACACCAGAGGTGTTGAAACAAAATGGCTATTTTTGTAGTGATTTTATAACATATTTATGTTATAATTTTCAAATATATAATGTATTCACTCTACTCTGTATTGAGCACTCTTTTAAGAATAGTAATTGTTGGTTATTGGCATTTATTCCGTATACACCAATCCTGTACTTGGAGATTATATATATATATAATCTGTTCTCATTAAGTTTATGTATCTTGTTTGTCAAACTATTGTGGATTATTTATCTTTATGTTGGAATTTCCTTTAAATTTGTTTTTCTAAAAGTCATAATTTTATATTCCTACAAATAGCTAATATACAATTCCAATATGTGTGGATCATAAGAAATATACATATAAATTATTGATGCTTACTAAATGTGAACAGAATTTGCCTTTGTTTTATTACATGTACATAATAATAGGTCATAATGCAAAATGTGGTTCTTGCTGTGGGTCGCAGTAAAAAAAGTTTGAAAAACACTGATCTAGAGATTTAATAGTCCCATCTTTCTTTGAATGTACTGTTACTGGTCAATTCTACCCAGACTTGCTATGCACATCCGTATTATCTGCCATACATAAACTTTATGGAAATGAGGAATTTTTCTTTCAACAAGACTGCACACTACCAACAAGACGTTACAAATTTATCTGAATGAAAATTTGCAAAGAAACTGAGTAGGACAAAACAGTGCATTTGAGTTCTCTCCCATGTTCTCCTGATTTAACATCTGCAGACTTACCTATGGAGGACCCTAAATGATGTTGTATCTGACAGAAAACCAACTACATTGGCAGCTCTTAGACAAGAAATTGTCCAAGCAGTAGTTCAGTGTACTAATAAATGTCTGGAAGCTAAAGGCCATCATTTTGAGTATCTCTTTTGATTGTAGAGTCCAAAGGTAATTTGTATTGATCTCATGATATCTGAACAAATTTAGTATTACAATATCTATACAAGTTTTTCCTTTCCTTTTTTGGCAGATTCTGTTTATCTACTGTGAATTGATTAGGAAACTAAATTTACAGACCATTCCCTAGTGCAGTGAGTTTTATTCTCACTGAGTGTTCTACTTTTTGGGCCTTGTGATAGACTAAGCTAAGCTTAGTAAATTATCAACATCATTCCAAGAATAGGCATAAGAAACACTATTTCTTCAATAATTTATTTACATGTAACCACCATCCCTTCACCAAAGTCAAGGCACATATGCTGCTTTTAACTGAGTGTCAAGATCTAGAGGATAAAGTGAAGCATGTTCAGATTCTAGTGAGAATCTCCAGGCAGACTCTATAAGTGATTTTCATCATGTGAGAGGGAACTGATGGATTCATCAATGACAGTCATCATAGACAAGTTCACAAATCTTTTTCATATTTTCTGGCAGTTTGTTCTTACAGAGGTTACAACAATCTGTGTCTTCTTTTGCATCCTACATATGCCTCTTCTCCAGTGACCTTAGTAGAACTTTCTAAAATGTGCTCCACACTCCTGTATATATAAACCTTTTCTCCAAAATCATTCTACTTAAGATGCCACATCAATCTAAAGACGACGCCTTTATGAAGGCATTTTAATCTCAAAGGTATTTAGAGATAATTTTTGATTTCAGTTAAGGAAGTAATTTATTATTCATTATTTTAGCCTGACTTATCAAATGTAGCAATTGGGTAGAGGATTATACTAAATTGTCTCCAAGTTTGATTCATTAAGAACCTGTCAATACATCTAATTTCAAAACTAATTTTTCAAATTAATTTTTTTTCCAGGTTTAATTATTATAAACATTAAATACAATGAAACCTTCTCTAATGTTTTTCTCCTTGTTCCATATTATAAAACCGGGCTTTTCTACATTTATTACATTCATCGACTGCTTTCAAATTTGGGTTTCTACTAAACTGGGACACACATCAACTGAAATCCAACCAGCTTTGAAGTGCATGTACCTTTCAAATTCCTGAATGTTTGCCAAAGTTTCCTAACTGCTTGTAAATTATATGCAGTGTGTCTATAAAGTCCCTATCTATTTTTTACATTGAAATTATAAAAAAATGATAATGATAGAGTGATAATGACTGAATCATAAGTGATATGTAACATGAGACAGCCTTCAGCATATCATTCAGTAGCATTTTGAACACCACCTGGAGCATTTTGCATTTTGGCAACTGTAAAAAGTTAAATTATTACAATTGTCTCATTTGGGCAGTTGAACAGCCAAAAACTTAGTCCAACATAGAAAAAGAAACACACCTAAAATTAATGTCAAACCTACTGTTAGAGAACTGATTTGTTTTGACATTTTGCAGCAATTCCTTAAATCTCATTTGGTTGCAAATAATTAACACTGTTGTATTTCAACAAGATGATATCCCTTGTCATTATGCAACAAGTGTCCAAAATAACCTGAAGAAAATTTCCAAATCAGCAGATTGCATATGAAAGTAGCAAATTGTAAAGTTACTAAATGAGGAATATGACTCGAGACAATTTATGTAAACATATCCAAAACACTGCACATGATCCAGGATGCATTTGAAAATGTTGTGGAACAATTTAATTTCCACTGGGATTATGGCTGCATAAAATAAAATTCTATAATAGAATATTGTAGTTTTGATTCAAACTCGCAGCAAGAAAGACCCCCAAAATACTGTTTGTAAACAGTGTTTACAGGTTCATCCATGAAAAGGAATTTACATTACAGATGGATCATAGACTATTGTTAACAATTTTTGGATCAAGAATGGGTATACACATGCACACTGTTAAAATATTACTGAACTACAACTTTAAGATGGAATACCCCCGAAAAAAAAAAATAGGAGACGCCGATGGTTTGTCTAGATTGATTCCAAATTTTGCAGAACTGTTAGAAGACACGGTGATAGCTGCTTTAAGGGATGAAAGAGAATGATCAGCATTACTATGTAATACAATTCGGGAGTTACCTGTGATTCTAGAAGATATAAAAAAAAGCACCTGAGAAGGACAAATTCATTGAAAAAACAAATGAAACAGGTATGGCTGAAAGAAAAACTTAAAAAAGGCTCTAAAATATCACCTTTCTCTATCTGTGAGCAAATGCTATTATATGCAGATAGAGTCATATGCCATATACACTGCAAGAGAAAATCCTGAAGGAATTTCATATAGGTCATCTGGGCATGTCAAGAATGAAATCATTAATGTGTAGCTATAAGTATTGGCCTAGGATGGATGAGGATATTGAAAAAATGGTAAAAGAGTGTAGAGGTTGTCAACTTGCGACAAAAGCACTACCAATAAAAATTCAGCCATGGCCTAAAACGGATGTTCCATGGACAAGGTTACACATCGACTAAGCTGGACCTCTAAATGGTTACTATTACCTTATAATCATGGACAGTTTCTCCAAGTGGCCGAAAATATTCAAGTGTAGACACCCAACATCTACAAATACTATGAATGTACTGAAGGATCTTTTTAGTTGTTTCGGTGTACCAAAGACTTAGCTCAGGGGAAGGTGTTGTAATGGAATGTCCTATATTCCCTATGTGAACTGACTATATCATTAGCTATATATAGTGAGTGAAGGATATACCTAGGGGCTTGCTTCTGGAATTACTAGCCTGCCACCTGATCTCTTGTCTTTCAGTAGTGTATTCTCTTTTACAATAAACCTCTCTTTCTTTCATCTACAAGCGTGTTGCTATTCCTTCACTAGAGTACCACCTTTGTTTGTAACCTTTTAAGGATACAACAAAAATCAAGAACAAAATTGTAAAGGATTTTTTATTTATAATAATTAATATACTATTCATTAATATACACGGTTCTGTCACTGATGAATAATAGTCAAATTAATAAAATATCAAAATACATACAGAATTAGTCAATGATCTTCCCTTATATATGAAGTTCTTTGACAGCTGTTTTGTACTATTTTTATAGTATATTAATTTGGGTATCCAATAATTTTAAAGTTATTTTCTTAATATAAAAAAAAAAACTAAAGGCTAACATCACAGTGTCCTGACAATAGGGTTTTTTTTAAGCTAACCTGGTGGATGTGTGGGTAGTATAACAGTTATCAGCACAGAAAGTGGAATTGGCAAAATGAGTTCAAGTTCTCACCTAGTCAGATGCATTCACTTTTACATAAGTGTCTTTGGGAAAGACATAAATCCACCTCCAACTATGGATTAAATAGTATAGTAGACTGGGTGACAGCCAGTCTAGCAAAAGAAAAACTCTAAAATCAAAACTGTGAAGAAAGCAAATCACAACCCTCTTTTCCCTAAGAAGCCATGGCAATTCACAGAACAATAAAGAAAGAGTCTGTGAAGATCCTGATTACATACATCCCTAGGAGACATTGTCGCCTTCAGGGTCTGTCCTGGTCCACGGCAACTAATTGTCGCCTCTTCCTCGGCCAGCTGTCTGAACGTCCAACTTACGCAACTGATCAATGAGATCATTGCTTTGATCCAAAACTTGACTTATCTTTAATTTTGATCATAAGGCTGGCAAACATTGAATTGTCATTGGGAATTGTCATATTGGGTTGGTCCAGACAGAATGAAGGTGCAAGTGAGAAAAAAACTTGAATAAAAATAAATGCGTTTATGTATGTTCTTTTGTACAGTGCTTGGTTAGTCTTGATGTTAGAATTTATCAGTTCTTCATGCAAAAAATTATTGACCCAACCAGCTTCTTAAGTTGAACATGATATTTTGGCTGGTTTGGTTAAGTCTGGCACAAGGCTTATGTCGGAGGTTCTTTTCAGGCAGGCAGTCATGTGATATCAGGCAACGCAGTAGTCACTCGTCTCAGTGTCGGCCACCACTGCTCTTGATTTCTTGCATAGGGTATGACGTGGTTAGGGGACTTGGTGATTCCCCAACTTCCAACAAGAACCCTTTGTTGTCTGGCTCTTGAAAATTAATTAAATTTCCAAATCGGGAGATTCCCTTTTCCTATGGGTAGCAGTCACAGGTATCGATGCACCCTGATAACTTCTTTCTCTTATTGCCATCTCACACCAATACTTCCTAATGAGCATGGGTACCTTCCTTGGGATTTCACCAGCGTCTGCCACCTTGGCTACCTTTCGACAAATCGGGCTCTTGACTCTTTGGCGTGGCTTAACTTATGGTCATTAATAAAAAAAAAAATAAAAAATTATCATTTTAAATTTTGCTTATGCAAAATTTTCTGATCCTGGCCTTGTTCAAAATCAGAGATTTAACAGATGGTTCTCTAGTCAGCCATTCCTGTCAGAGTCATTGCACTCGAACCACAAGGAATCTCAAGTTTTCGCTACATATCAAATCTTATCTGTCCTATTTATTTGTGTTTTCTTAACTAGTACTTTGAAGCTAGGTCATTAATCAGTTTGTCAGATTAAAGATTGCCACATTGCTTCTTGTAATAATATCACCTTTCCTTAAGTAATTATTTTGGTTTTAGAGAATTAAGCTATTTTTTTTAAAAAAAAGAAAAATCTTCATTCTTTCTCTCAGTCTTTCCATTGTTCTATTCATTAACCCTTTCTTTCCATTTACCAGTGCCAAACAATATCACGTGGCATTTTAAAAAAAGAGAGAATATTTGTTTGGAAATCCTACAGCAATTCACAGCTGGGCATGATGGAAGGATGGTGACATGAAGGTCTTCAGAGGCTGAGTTTGAAACTTGTTGGCATTGTAAAGCTGAGTTTCATTGGAAATTAAAGAAAAGGTCAGTTCAAATTATAAAGGTCTTAGAGATGAACCTGTTTTCCCTTCCCAACATAAAAATGGTCTGGTATTGGGAAGGGAGAAGCTTGAGTATGGTGAAAAATCTAGTTCTTGAAAATACACATTTTTGATGTAATAATATGGAATATCTGAGAATCTTCCAAAAAGTTCTATACTCCCTCAAAAGTTCCATTTCTGATATAATATAAAAGGGGAACCCTTGGCTAAAATATTTGGCTCCTCTTCTAGAAAGTTTTACATCGTGAAAAAGTTCTACTACATTTCCATACAACCTCCAGCGACCTCAGAAGTCAGAAATAATATCATGCACTCTCACCATCTATGAGACTGAGAAATATTTTTGTATTCCAAAGTAAACACATTTCCATTTGGATGGAAATAGCAGTTTTGACTCTAAATTAACCTGTGTGTGTGTGTATATATATATATATATATATATATATATATATATATATAAAATATCTAATATGGCTTGGATTTCAAAATTTCTAAAGTACCCTAATTTGATTCATGTCTTAAAAAAATGCTGACAATTTTCAGTTGGTCCAAAAATGTTGATTCTCTTAAAATTGTTGCTTTAAGAAATCAAAAAATTCTAATTTGCCATTATAAAAATTTACAAAAACATAGAACTTAAAATTAAAATCTTACAATTTTCTGGGGAAAAAAAAAGGTTTCTATTCATGCCTTTTTCTAGTGCAGTAACATGAAGTAATCACAGGTTATCTCCATCAGAGTTTAAACTTGGCTTGTAAATTCTACATTCCATGCAATTATTTCCTCCCCAGTGCTGCTATTTTTTAAAAATAAACATTCATACTGATGTCTACAATTAGGGTGCTATCAGTTTATATGTGTATCTTCTAAAAAGATGTCCCGTTTTACAGTTTAGTTAGGAATAGTAATTTCAACCCTAGATGGATCAATGGCGACTGTAATGACCTTAGAGGTTATCACCGCCTATCTTTTATTCATCTTTAAATAGAGTTATTCTTAGACACTAATTATTAGCCTTCAGGGTACAAATGTTTGCCCAGCCACAAAGTAAGCAAACATTCACAAGCTTAATAGATTATAGTGGAGTTAGATATTATATGCTTTTCTTATAATCTTAAAGAGTTCAAAATATCACTTACTTTGGAAAACAATAATATAAAAAAAAGGTTAAAAGAGCATCATTCTGTTACATTGCTTAATAGACAGTTATTAAAATATTAAGTCTACATATATGTTGGAATTAAAACTTGTTGATTCAGAGGTTAAATCTTTGTACTTACTTAAGTAGCATTTTGTATGCTATTATGTAATTTGTTTTTATAAAATTGACCATTTTTAAATGTTAATGTAATTTTCATAAAAGGCTTACCTTCTGAAAAGCCTTTTCTTGCAGGATTCACTAAAGACAGCTCATTACATGGAGACCCTCCAATCACAAGGTCAATAGGACACAACTCAGAAATCTGACAACAAATTTAAATGCATTTAAATTTTTGTTTTTTAAATAAGTATACCAATAAGTACTTAGCCTATTAATGGAAAAAATAATTTACACAACACATATTTTTTAACAGTCTCCTTTATCAACCTAAACATCAGAATTAATTTTTTAGTCTCATCATGGTCAGGCTGAGAAAATTTCAGCACTTTCTTGTGTAATTCAGTTTTTATAGATTTTGCACACATTTGAAATCAGTAAAAAGTGTGGTGGGATTGGCCTGGCCTAAAATATAGCTGGGAAATTTCCATGCCTAGGCATTGAACAATGATAAAATTTAACATTCAACCACATTGAATAACGGTAAAGATTTGATACTCAACCATGTTTTATTACAACAATTTAGGCCCATTCATACACTTTTGATGAAAAAAGGTATATATAATGTAAATAAGCCCAAAACTTGTATAAAAGTTAATTTATCATCATAATCTTTGTGCCATTAGTAAGAAAGATTGGAGAAAACTCTTGAAATAAAAATTGTGTACATTGTAAAGATATTTATATTTTAAAAAATTGTTAGCATTCTTGTATTTTAGCTTTGCAAATTATCATGATTGTTATTTTGTTTGTATCAAAATGTATATAAAATTTTTAACTTCATTTTTTCTTGAGAATACTATGTTAGATTGGAAAAAAGTTCTGTCACTTGTTATGATAACTTTAACAGTTGCTTGATTATAATTGGCATAGTTATGCTTTCTTTTTTCCTTTCAGGAATATTTAATGTCAAATCATGAACAATATTCTAATACACCTAACTACTTCACCGTTCACAGATGGAACGTTATGATCCTTAAAGATACAGGTGGTAATATTATTTGATCAGGCTGAATGTTATAGATTTCACATAATTATCTCCCTGTTACTTCTGTAACATCAAAATGGCAGACTGCTTACTGTGAACATGTGCAAAAGTTTTGTACAAATATATGCTGTTTGAGTTGAATAAAGTTACATTTACATGATAATTTTACCATTGTTTATTCATTACAACCTGGAGTAAATTTATTGTAGATATTCAATCTCCTGAATCCTATATATATTATGTTAATTCTTATTTCAAATAGTAAAATGTATAAAGCATGTTTTGACAGAGATGTAAATCGAATTCCTGACTATATTTGAATTTTCAACCTCTATAATCAACTTACCCTCTTCTCTGTAAGCTGTGTAATGTCTCCAATTTCTGTGACATTGTTACCATGGTTCACCCTTGTCACTATCAAAGCATCCAAATCAATTTCACTGGAAAAATAACCATTAGTCACTATTCCCAGTTCATCAAGAGCAACTTTACCTAAAAAGGATTTATTAGACATGTTTTCAGAACAAGTATCAAATGTTTGATGAAATTAATCATCTTATTAAGACGTTTTACATAGCTTGGCACACAATAATTTCCAAACCAGAACAATTTTCAATTTTTTTTTTATTATAGGTCTAGTTTCCTTATATAATAAAATGTTTTCATGATTATTATAATGCTTGACGTGTTAGTAATAAGAAAACCAAACAACAGAACTTAAAACTACAAAACACCTTATTTACTCATTAGTACAAGTGAAGATTTTGCTTTTATGACTGGCTCCAGTGGTATTTACTTTTCCTTTAAGTCACTCTTTGGCAAGTCTATTTAACTTTCTTGGGGATACCCAATAATGATCAAAGACCACTTAAGCTTCAGAGTTCATACACACATACACAGAAAACAAAAGAACATTGATAGCTTTCTTATAAGATCAAGGCAAACTCCTCAAACTGAGATATATGGTAAGCCTACCAATAATCAGTATTTATACTTTTGGATTTTATGTAATTGACTTCTCTCTATTGCACATGAACCAGAACTTTCAACTGTTGGAGCATAAGGTAATATTTGAATGCTGTTTGGTAATTCAAACTTTAATCATTAGAAAAATATTATTAATATCTGGCAATACAACGAAAGTGAAATTATAATTTTCATTATAGTATGAAATAATTTATTATAAATTTATATGAAAATTTACATTATCTTTCTCCAATAGTAAACACAACATTCTGCCCACCTATAACACACAAAATAATCATCTTTATTCATAATCTTGTGATTTAGGCAAAATGTGCATCAAACAATGCAGGACAGTAAAATCAAATGTTCAGCTTTTATTAAATAGTGGGTCAGAGTTGAATTTTCAACTGTTTCTGTTGACTTGTTCAGGTGCCTGATGAGTGTCAGAGATATTTGATCCAATTTTCTTAATTTTACTAGTAACCACTTGAGTTTAAGTTTCAAGAACCTCATTCTCATCTTCCCATTCAGCTACTGTGAAGTTAGAATAATGTTGTGGAGTATTTTCACAGTGGAGGCTTGTATTTCTAATAAGTCGTCCTGAATTAGGTCCGACATACAAAACGTTAGGAACTTGGAAAATAAGAGTCAATGGCGCAGCAATCTAGTTGTGATGGTTGGTACTTCAAATGTCCGAATCTCGACTGACGCGCTCAACACCATTCTGCAGACTTGCCACTGCTACTCCTACTTATTATCTATGGGAGAGTCCATTACAATAGAATAGGTACCTAACATCCCCCCCTAAAACTTTACTCTGCAGGAGTAAAAAGTTTTCTTTATTTTTCAAATTTTTACAGAAAAAAAAAAAATTTTTTTTTTTTTTTTTTTTTATTTATATATTTTTTTTTAGCAACATCGTAGCGTATCTCCTACGTTTTGGGTCCACTTTTAAAGGATTAGTTGCCTTTCTTTTTCTTCTGGATCGGTGTACCTTAGGTAAAATTATTTGCAGGGGTTGTTAGATCAAACTTATTGAAAATCACCTCCATCGGCGTTTTTTTTTTTTTTTTTTTATCGTGGGACCGCTGTCAACCATGTCTGAAAAACGTCGTCTGATCTGTTTACTGCATGTGAGTTTTTCCCCTTTCACCAAGTACGTCATGTAGTCAATCCGCTTTTCTATTTTTTTTTATATATATCTCCAAAGCGTTACCAGAAACAACCTTCCGCTTTGAACTTCTTAAAGATGGAGTCACAGTTTCTGTAGGTTCTTGTTGACTTAAATCATTTAATAATACTGCATGTCCTTGGTTGTGTGTAACTTGTTCCTCAGTTTTTTTTCGGTGTCGGCTTCATTTTTACTTTCTGAAGCTTGTTTTTCACGCATATTGTTGGTGTTAGCCATTTCACTTTTTTAAATAAACCCATTTTCTCTAATCTGTCCAATTCTTTATCTATCTGTTCAATTGAAGCAAACAGCAAATTCCTTCTCTTTTTGAATACCGCCTGAGCATTTTGTTTTGGCTGTAATTTTGCCTCAATCTTAGTACACGTTCCCAAACCTGGAGAAAAAACAGTAGGAAAATTTCTCTTTAGTTTCCTAACTAAATTTTTAGCTTCGTAGTTTAAATTTTCAACCTTGTAACAGAAAGAATTTATTGGTAAATCCCATAATTGAAATTCTGTTATCCAATCCGTACCAAGTAAGTTTGTGGTATTTTTCATGACAAATAGTTTAGCTTTTTGCGTTTTTTTATTTAACGTGACGTTTGTAACAAATTCTCCAATAAATTGTATTTTTTCTCCTGTCATGGACCTCGCGATTTTATTTGTCTTTATTAAAATTGGTTTCCCCAACTTCTTCCACGTATTCAAATTTATGATAGATAGGTCGGAACCAGTGTCGAGTTGCATTTTTATTTTTTTATTACATATTTCGACGGTAACAAATTTTCTGGTTATTCCGTCTTTCACTTTTCTTATTTTGTTTTTATTTTTTGACCTGCAGTGCGAGCTTTTATGCCCCACTCTTTCACAGTTGAAACATTTTTTATTCCTAAAATTGCAATATCTATACCAGTGAAGTTCACCGCAAGCAAAACATGGCTTCGGGAGTTTTTGTTTATTTTTTTCTGGTATTTCACTTTTTGTTTGATAATCCGCAATTTTAGAATTCTTTTTGGTAGACTGACTTTCTTTTTTGTAGCGTATTTTCCTTACATGCGAAACGCCAGACTGTTCTATCTTTTTCGAGTCTTTCTTTACGCTAACATATCTTGTGCAGTCTTCTGCCAAACTCTGTACCGAAATCTTCGGTTGTTTTTCCAATTTTGAAAGTACCAATTTCTACAATTCTGCGTCTCTTTCTGAAACTAAACCCTGGACAAATATCAAACACTTGAAAATGTCAGAGCTTAATTCTGCTAGTTTGAATTCTTCACAATGCTTGTTCACATTAGCTGCATACGTTATGAAGTCTTGTTCATCCTCTTTTATCAGATTCAAACATTTCCACCTTTTGTGAAACAAAGATGTCTTTTTACTAAATAATTCACTTAATATATTTACCGCCTTGGTAAAAGTTAACTGGCTAGTTTTTTTCGGTAAAATGTAGTTTACCAATTTATTATGCTCAGCAGTTCCTAACTTGCTTAAAAGAAGTCTAACCTTCTTTCCTTCAGACCACGTGTGGCAGTCCTCGTTATACACGTCTGTATATTTTTTAAAATACTCAAAGTTATTTCTTCGTCTGGACTGTACGTGAATCTTTCAATCGAATTCCATGTTGTATTCTCTGGGAAAGAATCATTTTGTAAATTTTCTTCTTTCCTCTTCTCAGTTATTTCCAGAATTTTGTTTTGAAACTCCTTATGCATCAGTTCCATTTCTCGTTGAAACTGAATCTGTCTATTAAAGGTATACTCCTGAAGTTGTATCTGGAATGTTTGCTGCTGCTGTAATAAAGTCTTTTGCTGTTCTGTCTGGAACTTAAAAAATTCCTGGAATATATTTTTGCATTCCTCCATCTTTGCAAAAAGTTTACACAATACTTAAATATTGCACAGGGGGTCCAAAACGAATTTGTAATTCGTGACCTATTTGAGCAAACTGTTTTATCGAGAAAAAATAAAATTCTTTTCTCAGTTGAGAATACAACTGATTTTTCCGTCACTAAGCTGACGTTTTGTCTTTCAAAAAAACTTTGCCAAGTTTTGTTTTTTTATGTGAATCTGAGTTGTTGTTGCCGAAAAATTTGACGAGCAAATTTTTTTTTTCCTCTGTGTGAAATACAAATTTCATCACTAAATAATGTGAGTGAATTTTTTTTTTTATTTTTCAAAATATGAAACACAATCCCACGTACGTTACGTGTATTATGGCGGGTGAATTTTTTTTTTTTTCACCTCTGTATGAGTTACAAATCCACGTTGACAAGTGTTGTAGAGTGAACACAATTTTTTCTTCAAATGTCTGAATCTCGACTGACGCGCTCAACACCATTCTCCAGACTTGCCACTGCTACTCCTACTTATTATCTATGGGAGAGTCCATTACAATAGAATAGGTACCTAACAAATAATCTGCCACTTCAACTAACTGCTGTTCAGGATTTGTTTGCAGAATGTATCAAAAGTGATACGGTTGTCTATCATCCATCTTGAAGTTGAATATGAACATATTGTGGATTAGCTTCTAGTAGTTTGCTCTCATCAACAAAAGATTCAAACTTATTCTGGCATATATGTTGGCTCATAAAAATAACATAAGGTTTAGATAACTACATATGAGAATGAGAGATGGTCAGTTTTTTCTTCAGGTGGCAAAATATTTTGACTACGGTGTCTTGTAACATGCATCTTATGCAGTACAGTTCCTCACAATGCAATTTGCGAAGAGTCTAGAGAATCAATAGTACTATTTTCCAAGAAATGGTCAGGTAAAGTACCCGAACATTTCCTTGCAATTTACAGGCAATTGAATGACTGCTTGCTACACTATGTTTACACTTCTTTAGACATAAATTCTTGGCTTCAATCTGAGTGAATATGCTGGTATCTGAAAAATACAAAACAGCTGACAAAGACTATCACTGATGTTAAAAGCGATCATGAAAGCCCCAAGAAGGAAATCCCAGGACACCAGCAAACACTGGAACTGATAGATTAAAAGCAGCTTAATAGTACCATTTGTAATGGTATAACTTAGAGAATTAATCGATATTTGACCATTTATTATTGGTAAACATCAAGATGTTCAACAACTATATGAATTCTTGCAAATTTTTATCATGTTCTTACATTTTTCCATATCTTTTGACATGTCAACTGTATTAAACACTGTATTTAGATCTCTTTTCCCCTGGTATTGATGTTAGATAATGGATACATACCTAATATGGTAAGGCAATGTATTGTCAGTAAATAGTCATTTCTTCTAGTTTTCACTGCCAGTAATTAACATGAGATCTCCACAGTGACATATTTAGCTCAGTATAGAATACTAACAATTAATTTACTTCCAAATTTATGAAATGAGCAGAATATGGGGCACTCATGTTTGCACACAGTAAGAGGGGGTCATATATAGCAAAGTTTGATATTGTTCAAGAAGTTTGCAAAAGTGTTGTACCAATGAGTCTATTTATTCCAAAGGATCAGCATCAAACTAAAGCCAGTCTTAGAAATTAATCCATCAGTAAAAAAAAATGAAGCATATATTGTAAAGCTATAGGTATGTATGTAAGTGCAGGGGTCTTTTGAGCTATTTTCTAATGGGTATCTTTATGCTACAAGAAAGGTGAAAAGCTAGCTTAATTAGTGTAGTCTAAACACAAAATAACATAATGTGATGTTTACATTTTGATTTCCACCAAGAATAAAAAGAAATGGTATTGCAATTTTCATTAAAAGAATATAAATTACATAATGTAAGTAGGTATCTCAAAACTTATCTTCAAACTGTATGAATAAATCTATTTTTGTATAGGATTGAATATGCTACAAATTAGTTAGTACAATAGAACTACTAATTTTATTCAAAAATAAATTATGTACTAAAAATAACATAGACAAAAGATTGAGATGCTAATCATACTGAAGGTGAAAGAGACTATATTGTTAATTTCATCATTGGTTCCTTACCTGTACCAATTCCATCAAATAAAGACAATACACGCAGAGGTGGGGGAGTGGGATCATTCATCAGATATGACAAATCAGGTTCCTGAAATACAACAAAAATGACAGATTATTTGATTTCAATCATATACTTTTATTTAAACATGGTGTTGTACTTAGTTGGGGTTAAAACAGATTTCTTAGACAGTAAATGTTAATTAAAATACCAGTATTCATTAGTGGGTCAATTTTTATATTTATTTGATGTTATTGGTTCTTAAAATTTATCACAGTAGTTCATTAGTCATGTGACTACATTATAAAAATGATGTGTGTTATCACATGACACTTAATATGTATTAACTTTTAGCAAAATTCATAAAGTTGTGCCTCTTGTGGTAAATAAGAAAATTTCCATGAAAAAAATTATCATAGTGTTTTAATAATGAAAATATAATAATAACATTGTTTTTGATTGTAAATATTTTACTGCTACAGTGATTTTCTTGATATTTTTCCTTACCTTTCTAAAATTACTTATTCCAAAACCTTGGGCAATCATAAATCATATACAATTTTAGGTAAAAATCAAGCCAGCTATCTAATACAGAAGATGAAGACCAACCTGTAACTGTTGATGAGAGAGGAACAGTTGAATTATATTGATGTTCCAGTTCCTCTTTGGTTTCAGACAGCCATGTGTAGCTACAGACACTTGTGTATTGCAAAGGAAACAGACCCATGGATCTTGAGCAAGAATCTATAAAAAAAAATATATAAAAAGTCCAATAACAACATTATCAGACTTGTTTAATACGAATTAAGTAAACCTTGTTTACAGTTCTGACTTTTTATGCAAGTTTGCACCCATAGACATATGAAGCAGTGTTGAAAATTTTCACTAACAAAAGGTATTACTGGGTTTATTTTAACTCATAATAATGTAATGTTTAACCTTTCTTAATTCACACTGAAATCTAAGTTAAGAGCTATTTTAATTTATTGCACAGCTATAACTATGATATGACAGTTATTAAAAAAAATAACATGGTCAAACTAATCAGAATCTGATTTTGTTACAGCACACCCTTGTTTGGTCACTTTTATTTCATCCTTGACCCTGATGCAACATGCAATATGGGAATGATGGCCCTTCCAAATAATGAGAAAAACTGGTGATTGAATAACAAAGTTTATTAATGACAGGTTTATAGAAGCAACTGAACTATTCATGTTGATTTTAAGAACCATGACTGTTCAGGTGTTTTCAGCCAATATACACTTTACAGATATGAAAGGCAGGATTGGTCAAATACCGGCTGAGAAGTTTTCTATATGAAAAGACTTCTCTTCTCACAGCTGCTGTTAAACTCTTACACCAACTTACTACGAACTCAAAATTTTTTTACGTGTATTTATACTGTGTCTGTGGGTTCAATTATGCACACCCATTGTTTAAGATATATGGGTCAGTCCAGAGATCCACTGACACAGTTCTAGTTTCTGCATTTGACATGGTAGTATGGTACACTTGTGATTTTTCTGTGTCATCATAAGTTTAATTGATCTTATTGTGCAAACATAACATAGATCAATTGTTCAACATGTTCAATAACACTAAGCTGATTTCTTTTCAATATGGCCAACTCTCTTCAACTTTGCCCTGTGATTTATCATTGTAATGAAGTTCTTTCTTTCAGCCAGTATAACTATATTCTCAGCCTTTGAAATTACTGAACAATCATTGTATCATAGTTTAAATCATGGCATACCCAACTCTTACAAAAAAATTTATTCAAAAGATATATCTCCAATTTGTATTTAGATACATTGTGTTTATTTTCAATGTTTCTATTTGAATTGTTCAATTATATTACATATGATCTATTATGTATGAATACTACCTTATGAAAATTGAAATATTGTAGAGTGGGGTCCTTGTATCATAGATTTGGGGTGTGTGGTCATGAGACCCTTGCACTGGCCTTGCTCTTGTCCATATGTAAATGATCAAACTTTGACATTTACATATCATTACAAAAACATAATTTTTATTTCCAAAGAATGTTTTCTATTTTTATTTTAACAATTATTTATATATACTGATTGTTTTGGTTTTGTTTGTTTTGCTTCTACAAAACATTATTTGTTTTGCTTTGCATGATTTATCTGGAAAGTTTTTAACATGAAATTAAATTTTGCTTTGCTAGTTTCACTTTTGGCTAATGAAAATAGTGAACATTTAAGATTTAATTATTTTCACTTTAATATAATTTAAAACTTCAATGGAATCTATAGAAACATATCACTGGCTTCTTTTTAACTGATTAGAATAGTTTAAGGATTTATTTCTTTAAGGATCCCTTAGAGGAATAACATTGAGAATATCTTGAGAACTTGGGAATTCCATTGCCTCTTATGCAAAAATAATCAATAGTCATAATATAAGATATTTTTTTAAAGAATTAATTTTGTAATACCAAGCATTATTTCTTCATGCAATGAGTGGTGAACAGTGATACTGATGTCAAAAGTTTTATTGCTTTTTTTTTTTTTTTTTGCATAGAGAAATATCTTTTTTTAATGAGAGAAATGGATCACAAATAAATAATATAATGAAATAAGTTAAATTATCTCAAGGACTTACCAATTTAATATAGCTTTATATAAGTAACCGATAGAAAGAATATTTTATGCTTTAATTTCAAGTCAGAATTTTGTTTCTTCTTCTCATTATGGTACATCACAACTTAAGAGCTTTCATTCAATATAATTTTTTTTTTTTTATAGTAAGGTTCACCCTGTACAAAGTCCATGCGGTACTTGAGATAGAGGGTTATGATAAGGGGTAGTTTATATGGATAGGAGGAGGAAGATAACAGTTGACATTAGACTTGAACAAAGATTGTAGTGACTGGGAGTCTCTTCCATAGAGCAGTGGTTTATGGGAAGAGGCTGTTTGAGTGGAATTTACTTCTCACCAATGGAATACAGAGTGAATGTGGGTGGTTTACTACTATTTAAGTGGCATAGCAGGTCTTAACCTTGAAGATCTGAGCTGGTGGAACCAGGAGATGCAGTTCATCCAAGCACTTTCTATGGTAGTAGCGACAGAACAGTAGGAGACTTGCCACATTCTGCCTGTGAGAGAGAGGTTAAAGTGTGGGAAATAATTCTTCTCACACAAGGAATTGGTAACACTTTTGAACACTATCAAAGTTGGAAAGGGAGGAGAGGGCAGCTCCTGCCCAAATATGGCAACAGTACTCTGGCTCTTACAAAGGTAGAGGATAGCATGAGGAGTCAGGTACTTGCTAGAGTGGTACAGGGAACTGATCATTTAACCTGCATCTTTAGCGATGGATCATTTATAGGAA